AAATGGCTGCAATATAACAAAGAGTGAAAAATTGAAGGGGGTCTGAATACTTTCCGTACCCACTGTATATATGAAACTTACCACACAAACTTAAACTGATATATCAGACCTGAACACAATACCAACTGAATGCAATTTCTGAAGAGTGAAATCACTTCAGTATAAGTTTTCAGTATGCTCTTTAGCCCGAGGGAACGGTTTTGTTTGCCAGGTTTACACATTGCACTTAATGACAGTGTTTCTCCAGCTGCCATCCAGCCTATCGGGAGTGCTGGAAATGCACTGAAGTTTTACGCAGGATGGTCAGGCAAACGAAGGACAATAAAGATTAGCTACATTAGGTACACAAAACCCTCACAATTCCAAAGCATGCCATGCCGCACCAATCCCATCTTCTTTATAAAACAAGCAAGTGGCTGGCAAAAAAAAAAGAAAATACCCCACTGTCTCCCTCACTTGACAAATACAAAGAATATTCAAGAAAAAGAATGTGCTCCACTGCCACTCCAGTGAATAAATGGAAGAGATGATGCAATCATAACAGTTTATAGCAATTTCATTCCATCATCTGAATGGAATGTGGTGTGATACAAAAAAAGAAAGAAATAAAAAAATTTACCATAAACAAAAAATAATATAATTTAATAATATAACATACTATAAGTTTACAGACAACTTTGAATATCTGTAAATATCTTTTTTTAAAGTACATTATTTTCAATATTTTGAATAAGTTATAAGATGTTATAATATTTATAATAAGTTATTTTCCAACTTTTTTGCCACTGTGTGTGTGCATGTGTATACATACATACATGCTGGGAATGATACAATAAACTGTACTGCTTGCCACATAAAAAAGAGAAAAAACCCCAGATAAAATACTCCATCATTATATGGACAAAAATACATGTTTTTAGGGAAATATTGAAAAAACATTGCTTCATATCTGAAAAACGAAAATTTTACCATTGGTAAAATGTCTCCCACCATTAGTACGTACAAAAAAAAAATAATAAACCTGGTCCAGAACAGTGATGGATGGAGATGCTGGTGTGGAGTATCTTACCCACTGCTTTACACGTCTTGGTAACCGGGTCCATCTCGTAACCCTCATAGCATTCACATTTGTAGTCGCCTTTGAGGTTGATACATATTTGACTGCAGGCATCAGAGTTCTCGCATTCGTCTATGTCTGGAGAGGACCATCAGAAAAGCATTAGTAACAGAGCAGAGATACACAGAGAACAGAGGCTTTTGTAGTGCAGTGTCCACAGACAAGATAAATGATGCTTGCAAACACCATCTGGGGATTTCTCTACTATAATTTTCAAAGAGAAGACACAGAGTAAACAAATTCTAAATGTTCACAATGCACGTACAACAGTGGGCTTCGGGGAAAATTGGTACAATGTAGACTTGCACAGCATCAAAATGTTGGTATCTGACATAATATATCTGTTACCTCTACAAGTCTTCTTGTCCAGGAGCTTGTAGCCCGAGGGACATTCACACTCATAGCCGATCTGCCGGTCCTTACATATGTGAGAGCAGCCTCCATTGTTAATAGCACATTCATTCAGACCTATGACAGAAAAAAAAGGGTCAGTGTGTCCGGTGGGAAATGGACAGTAATGCCCACTGCAACCTGACACCAGCTGACAATAGACTGCTTCTTTCTCATTTTCTAGGTTGAGCTTCAAGTTTGTGTCAAGACTTTATGAGAAAGTGATGAGGTGAGTGAATTCTAACTGAAAGACCTGACTTAAATGCTTGAAAAAAATGCAGTGAATAGGTGGAAACTGCTTGTGCGTGAGGTGCTGTGAGAGAGAGTGACAGAGTAATATGGCAAAGGTCTCGCCAGTATTGCATTCAATAATTTTTATCTGAGCAACAAACACATTTGGGCATTGGCTGATGGCTCCCTCTATTACAGATGACAGCCAGCATACACATACATCACTCTTTAATGTCATCTCTACAGTATGTCTGCTCTTTCTGACCCTAATACAAATCAACAAGATATTTTCATTATCACAATTACCCTTCTCACACTTGACCCTTCGCAAAGACCCGCACCCTTAGTTACTGTTTCTACGTCCGACAAGCCATGGCGCTTTCACACCACACATTGTTCTCACGCAGTGGAAAAAACATCGTGGAGCAAGGAGGACACTGACAACATGCTGACAGACAAGATTAAGCAGGTTACTTTTGGTATGAAACAAAATATCAGCTTTCAAATTTTAAAATAAATTAAAATATTAAATACCGTTTTGTGGCTCTTTAATGTGTCGTGACAGATCGCTGCCTCAGTTCAAGTGGCATGTGAACCAATCATCTCTTCCTCTTTACTAGTTATAGCACAAAATAAACATGAATGAACATCAGAAGGTATCTTGTTTCATCTGCGGAAAGACTACAATATGCACCATTTTTCAAGTTCAAGTCCACTGATGTTAATCTACTCTCTTGTCTGGTTTGTTTGTCGGACAAAATGGTATTATGATTGGTCAGATCATACCGCCTGTCAATCAAACTCCTGACGAAGGGTCAATTATAAAGCTGAATAAATGCATAAATAATAAGAACTATTTATAAATGTATAAAGTTTTTTTTTAAACTAAACTTATTCAGCAAGCAAATACTAAGATTAATAATAACACAAGCCAATATAAATATAAAGAAACAAACATTTAATTTAAAATTCTAAGCTATTATTAAAAACCAACAATAATATTAATACTTTGCTTTAAAACAAACAAATAAATAAATTCTGTTAGTTTGTGGATATCAATGTGACATGGTGTGCAAGTACAACACAAAAATACACATAAACCAGCCTGACAGAAGAAAAAAAAGAGGAAGAAAGACAGCAAGAGAATAGGAAAAAGAGAAGAATAGCTGATGCTAATGCTGAGAAACAGCTGACAGCAGGAGACAGACGGAGGACAGAAACACCACAGGAAGTTCAAGTGAAATAGGGGAAAGAAAAGACAAAGTAGAATGAAAGGAGACAGGTTGAGAGAAGAGGTAGGACAAACACCTGGACCGTGACTAAAAGAAATGCACACTCAAAAAGTGTGTGAGAGGCACTCTCCGACAAGCCAGAAACTGTATTTTCTCCAGGCCACATATGAATCATGTATAACAAGTAAAGGATGCACTAGTGAATATGGTAGAAGCGTAATCCCTGGCACCAGTCCTAGTGATTTAGCATGCATAGCTGCAGTGGCCCACTTGGAGCCGGTCCAGAGTGCACTGGGCTCAGAGGGGGGCGTCTGCCGTGCGTCAGGTGCCTGCACTAATCTCATCTGCTGAGTGGAGGGACCCGCAAGGAAATTAACACAATCCTGAAGAGCCACTGTGGGACCATGTATTTTACATTACGGATTGATAAAAGAGTGAACATAACCAGGAGGAAAGGGAGAAATAGAGAGAGGGAGAATCGAGCGAGGAGCTGGCATTTCCTAAATACCATATCGATTTAACATACACAACATTTAGTTAGTAAGATATCTTTCTTGTAAAGGTGAAGTGTGCAATATCTATGTGACAAGCAATGCCACACAGCCAAACGCAAAAATATATAGATTTTTACATTTTATGACCGAAATGCGAGTGGTTTTATCTGAGCACAACTGAGCCACAATTTTACAGTGTTGTAGGTGGTTGCTGGGCATTGCTAAGCAGCTGTGTGTTCTGAGTAGTTGCTAGGTGGTTGCTAGGGTGCAAAATACTCTGTTCGTGAGCGCCACAATGACGTGGTTTTATGTAACAGAAGCGAATCTGGGCATGTGACTAAAAGCGCCAGTTTTCTTTGTAGTGTGTTGGAAAAGATGAGACCACCTCTCTGTACAAAACTTGCCACATTGATGGCATGTGAATGTTTGCATTAATAACCATTATTCAATTTAAAATGTTTATTGCTTCAAATTTTCGCACTGAATATTTGTCTTGTGTGAACAGGCATTTAGTCTGAGACTTTTCCCACTCATTTTAAATGTAAACTCAATTGCTTAGAAAAGTATGTAAACCTTTAAACCAGGGTTATTATTATAAACTGCAACTAAAACTATTAAAAGCATTTTTGTTAATTGAAATATTAGATAAATATTAGATGAAACACTGAGCAAAACTTAAAAATGATGCCTTGACTGAAATGGAGCACTAAAATTACTAAATGAAAATAAATAAAACTAAAACTGAACTCAAACTAAAACTGAAATAAAAGTAAATTAAACTTATAAAAAAAAAAACTAATAAAAATTACAAAAGCACATAAAATGAGTAAAACTGAATATATAAAAATAAAAGCCATTCAAAATATTAATAAAACTATAATAGTATAAAAATATTAAAATAACGCTGCTTTACAATAAGGTTAAATATGAAAAATAGCTGCATTAGCTATAATTAACTAACAATTAATGATTTTTACAGGATTTGTTTATCTCCTTATGTTCCAAGCCATTACTTGGAAAAATATGCAGTTCTGCTCCAAATCCACACTACTGGTTGAGCCAGAAGCTGAGATATTGAACTGCTCAAACAAACAGAGCCCCACAAGTGTTTACACTCTTCAGGAAGTTGACCAATGAATGGTTTAACTACAGTTGTCTCTGTACATTGAACTTGGAAAGATGAAAGTATTTTAACATCAAATAAAATTCACACTCCTCCAAAAATATATTTTCAGTTCTAGCTTATCGTCGAAGAAAAAGTCCAGTTCCCCAATATGATGAAAGACAAGAACAGAGAGAAAAAACAGATCTACGGAAACCTGCATTCTCTCTAGAGGGCAGCAGAATATGCTGGGCACATTCTCCTTGTATGATAGCACCCGAGGGAAGACTCACACTTTGATCTTAATGATCGCTCTGTGGGTTGTTGGCCCTTGATCAAGTGAAGCCCCTAATAAGCCAACACTGTCTATAAGCTTAAATGCTGGTCTGGAATTAGTTTTCCCTCTCCAAATCCAACGCTACTAGTGAGAAAGAAAAAGCTGACCCTAGATCACTGGCTGCAGGCATTCCATTTTAAACAATTTTACAATTCTATCTTTGGCTTCCCACACTAAAAAAGTAATGTCAAAACTTACGTTAAAGTCATCATATAAAATACTTGCATATAAAACCTCATTTAAAAATAAAGTCCAAAATATATGATTATACCAATAAACAATTTACTGAGGATGTTTGCATTCGTGCAGAAGTGCCTGAACTCACCGCACTCCTTCACAGGCTCATCAGACCAGTCCTTGCAGTCCTTGATACTGTCACACACTTTACTGCTATCGATACATTCCCCGCTCTTACACATGAACTTCAGCAGACCTTCACATTTGGTGGCTGTCAAGGACACAATAAAGAGTTCTTACACTTATGATATTTCAGTAGTAGCACATAAACAAAACTAAATTATGTAGAGTACCAAACATGAACTGCCATTTCACAAAACACATTTTCAAACGACACTCGTTGCATGAATGTTCATTATGCTCTTTGCCATACAATGGCAATAGACAGTGACAAGAGGCCGTCAAGCTCAAAACAAGTACATAAAAGCACCATAAAAGTAGTCTGTGGAATTTAACACTATATTTCAAATCGTGTAAAGCCTATAAAATAGGTCTGTGTGAGAAACAGGCTGAAATACAGCATATGGCTTCAGAAGATCTGGAATATTAGGGCTGGGTTTTGGCACAAATTTCACGATTCAATTCAATTCTCATTCACAAGCTTGCGATTTGATTCGATTACCAATTCGATTTGATTTAATATAGATTATTTTGGATAAATATCAGGTACAGTACATGCCAAATTTTCTCAAGGAAATAAATATCTCAACTAAAGCTGTAAAATATACATGAGAGTCAGTTGGTACTACATTACTATAATATTAAAAGGTTAAAATTGACTGATTTGTAGGCTAATATACAAGTGCTAACATTACACTTAATGAAGTTTTTAAAATAATAAAGTTACAATTACGTAATAATACTTCTACTTCAATTAGTTTTTTTGAAATATAAGCATTTAAATGGATTTATTCAAACATAAATTAAACATTGAAGAACAGTAAAAATTATAATGAATATGTTATATGGTGCATATATTTAGCAAAATGCCCCTCTCTACAGTTTATTTTTCTAGCTTATTAATGAATTGATGGTCACTGAATATGTTTTTCTGAGGTAAATGTGACGTTACATGACACATTGTTTACAAGCTGTTATATTGACGTCTTTGTGCAGCCGAAACACTAATTGAGAGATTACATGAGACAGGATACGGACTGTAAAGTTGTACTCTTTCTTTTAACATACCTTCGGATGTTTAGTCATGATTATTTTGTGCTGAAACTGGTATTAATGTGGAGGAGAAGATGAGTTCACGTACGCCTCGCGCTGCCACTTTTATAGCGCGCTGCGCTACAGCGATCTGTCACTCCACATTAAACAGCGCCAAAACGGCATTTATTGTTTAAATACTGCAATACAATTGACAGAATTTGAAATCTGAGACTTTGTTTCATATTAAAAGTACCAAAGCACAATGCTTATTGCAATTTATTGGATGGGAATTGCCCTTCAATGTTCCATCCATTGACTGAAAACAGGCTAGACTAATCGATTCTTGGGATTTAAGAATCGATATCTTTCTGTAAAAATGAGAATCGATTAAAATCGAGATATCAATATTTTGTACCCAGCCCTATGGAATATAGTGCATGAGTCATATGGACTACTTATTTGGTACTTTAATGGTGCTTTTTTTGTCCTTTCTGGATCTTGACAGCCCCCCAGGTCACAGTATGTTTCAAAGGACATTGCTTTTAAAGTCTAAATATCTTTAAAAAAAATAAATATCTTACCAAGACTGCATTTATGGTCAAAAATACCATAAAGCAGTAATATTGTAAAAATGATTGAAATTTAATATTAAGTTTTCAATTTTTATATATTTTAAAGGGTACATTGGATAAAATGTTAACTTTTTTTAGCTTTTTTTTTGCATTTAGCTTCTTACTATTTGTTATTATTATCCATCTTGAAAACAGCTGTGCTGCTTAATATTTTAGTGGAAACCTTGATACTTTTTTCAGGATTCTTTGATGAATAGAAAGTAAAAATATAATTTTTTGTAACATTATTAATGTCTTGACTGGCATTTTTTTGATCATTTTAATGCATCTTTGTATACTGAATAAAAGTATACATTTAAACAGCAGTGCATGTGTATGGGAAAGAGCACTGAGCACATTCTGCTAAACTTCTGTTTTTGTGTTTCACAAGAATAAAGCCATTTGAAATGACATGATGGTAAGAAAAAAAAGTACATTTTAATTTTTGGGCGAATTATGCAATTACAACATGATTTATCCAAATAGGACACGTTCCTGAATAAATATAATTTGTTTGTCCTGGAAGAACCTTCCTATCAACCAACTGTAGTCCTAATCTTATCCCTAAACCTAACCCTACAGTCACAGGACTCTGACTAATCTACAGAAATATTGTTTTAGGACCAACAAAGGATGCTGATCCTATGTCCTACATAGAAAGTGTGCCGTGAAACCCTGGAATCATGTAGGGGTATATCTGTTTGGCCTTGTAGTGCTTTGTGTGAATATTAACGTGATTGGGGCTACATGATTGGATGCACTCTACTCTTTCATCTTCACTGAAAATGCTGCTAGAAGAGGGGAGAGATGAAGAGGCTAATCAAAAGGGAAAGGGAGATCACTGAAGTTACTCACTTTTGTTGATGCAGCCAGCCTCGTCGCTGAAATCTGGACAGTCGTGCACTTTGTTACACTGTTTAGTGCCGTGAATGCAGGAGCCATCGCCACACTGGAACTCATCAGGACGACAGGTCAGCACAGCTGTAGGGCAAAAACATGTTTATGTAGGACTATCATTCCTGTAGCTATATATATCAGCCTGGCCAAATAATCAATATTTGGTCATTTTGCAGAAAACTGCAGAGCGGAGTATGATTTACTGATTCTCAGAAGTGGTTATTCCACCTAATGTTAATTCCAAAATCTACTGACATCCTTGTCAATGGATAGTGCACATGTTCTGTTTTTAAATATTTGTAGTTAATTTTGAGTAAATGATGGTGATAAAATAAAATAAAAAGATAGTATATAAGATATTATAAAATATATAATTATATACTGTACATTTTATTTTAATAATATTACATTCCTATACACATTTTTTATTAATTTTTATTACCTCGCTCTCTAGACATCCGTATCAGCATCAGCATTAAAATTGGTTCATTGCAAATGTATAATTTAAATATAAGTCACTTTGGAAAAAAGAATCTGCCAAGTAAATGTAAAGGACTAAGATAAAGTCATGAGTTGTTAAAGCTGTTAAACACATGCACACTAAAGCACTCACCATCACACTTTCATAATAATCACCCATTGCACCTCTGTTTGTGAACTTCAGTTCTAAAACAGCAAATGGTTTTGGCTTTTACCTCCTGTCAGATCTCAAGGTAATAGCTTATTTGCAAGAGAGTTTTCTAAGAAAAAAAAGCTCTGAACATTAAAAACAATCAGTCACTTACTCTGGGGCATAAGGGAACACACTGAAGGAAGAAAAATGTGCTGTTCGACGAAGAAAGGTCTTAATTTTTCACATTCATCTTTTAAAATTCCTTTAATCTTTCATACGGTGTAATTTGGAGGAGCTGCGGAGGGAGAACATTCACCGTGATCAATTTCACTAGAGCACATCAACTTATCTCACGCCAGCTCTCTTGCCTCTATACACTGCTTAAAAATACGCTTGACCTATATTTTTGCCCTGTTTTCCAGTAAAAATAAATAACCCTCTCTAAAACAAAATATATTCACTTGGGAAACAAAATTGTATATAATATTAGTTTAATAACATTAATTAATTGAATTCTATATGAATGCATCAACTGTATCTGTAATATCACCTCCAGTTTGGCTTTTGAACCGTTACTTAGTGGAAACATAGTTTGCCATTATTCATAAATGTAATTATTTATTAAACATTGGAGCATTTATTCATACTGCCATTGCTGTCATAAGCATAGTCAGTGTTGTTATAGTAAACTACTACTAAAAACATTCAAAACATTATTTTTAATTGAAATAGAGCTTAAATAAAATATTAGATTGAAAAACTCAAACCACATGAAAATTTGAAATGTTGCCTTTGCAACTAACTGAAAAAAATTGGTTGAACTGAAGTACTGAAATAAAACTAAAATTGAAAAAATAAATTGAAACAATTTTTAAAAAACAAAAAGTAATAAAAATGACAAAGCACATAACAAAATGACTAAAAATGTAAGTAAAAATAACATATAAATAAAAAATAAATTCAAAATAATACCAAAAAACTATAATAGTACATAAAAATGACTAAAATAACACTGGCAGCATAAAAACAGTATTCACCCACAAAGAATAAACATCTAACCTAAACCAAATAAAATATCATGCAAAATGACCAAATTATGAACTGAACAGTTAAGTATTTTGAGGATGGTGCACAATCCCTTACAAGAACCCTACAGTGAGACAACACTCACAGAGCGCTTACTCTGCCATGCCTCAAAACACACGTGTTGCCTGGCAACCACCAAGACTCTAGCACATTGCCATGCCTCTACAGTACTTCGTGGAGATTTACATGTCATAAACTCATGGAAAAAGAACACCATTATATCAATAAACACACACATGCTAGAAAAAAATGTACACGTGTTTGTGCACATGCTCTGCATCAACAACCAGCCCTCTACAAACACCTTGGCAATTGAATTGCCATTGGCTAGTAAATTTTTTGGTTTAGTCGCCAGACTGATATATATATATATATATATGTTTGTTAACATATATTTTAACAGTTTATATATACGGTACGTTAAATACAGGTGCGTTGCACATCCATTCAGATGAACTGAAAAACAGCACAGATCGCTTGGCGGAGAGTGAAACACTGATGCGCTCAGTCAGAGTGTTCGGCGAGTGAAAATATATCTTGTCGCCCAGAGTGAAGATTTAGTCGCATATGCGAGTGATTTACTTGCAATGTAGAGGGTTGACAACGCACATACAAACAAAGTTTTCAGCTGCAGGTTTTGTGTTTTCAGGATTACTCAAACAAACATGCTTGCTTCCTCATGCCTCATGGAGAAACAAATCCTTGAAATGCAAAGTCAATAAACATTCATGTTCACTGATTCTGATTCTATTGTATTGTTTATAAATCAATTAAAACATGAAAATTACATGCTAATTAATTTAGCAATAATCCAATTTTTTATAAATCAATATTTGCTGATAAAATATGCTAAATGAAGATTTTTCAAAGACAATTAATTATTGTGGCAGACAAAGTACACATTGGCAGTAGAAGTCAATACAAAGTGCAGCATGTTCAAAATAGTGCCAATCTTACGTACTAAACAGGGCTGGATTGGTAATCGGGCATACCGGGCATTTTCCCGGTGGGCCGACGCATTTAAGGCACTTAACACAGAATGTTTTTTTGTTTTTTTTGTTGCCGAAAACCATCACGCAGGGGCAGCGAGCAGCCAGTGGCAGGCAGGCATCTAACCTATCCTAATGTGTGTGCGCGGCTGTGCGCCATGAGTGTATGCGTAAACACTTTTTAATAAAACGTAAATTCGTCCCCCGCGATTTTTTAGCCAAGTCAAGTCAAGTGTGTTCATAGAGGTTTCCATGGGCCAATGCGAATAAAGCTAGATGTAAATAAAAAAAGACACGATATTGTCGGACCTGACGTTTTCTTCTTATCCAAAACAAGATGTGATATGAGTGTGATACATAGGCTACATACATACACTACCAGTCAAAATTTTCCAATTTACCAGAAAGATCCAATAGAAAGATCCAAAGATCAGCATTCATATGAAA